ATGACCTCAATGGAGTTGTTATAATAAATGCACCTAATACAGAAGTTTGCTCAATGTAGTCTGCTGAAACTAATTATTTTGCTTAAGGGGAAAGTCAACTCATCAAAAGAAGAGGACACTTGAAATTCCTCTGTCCCCCAGCACTTTCAATTGGTCTTGATAGATATATAGCTTAAAACTTTATTTCAGCATTAAAATAAACTGTTTGCCATTATAAGCCTGATATTTCTAGGACTGTTTCATTAATGCAAAATTAATGGGGGAAAAAAATGTATGAAACTGCTTAATGTAGATAGAGTTGACTGACGGGGGAAAATGTGGATTGCACCATTTAAGGTTGAAAATATGGACTTTTTTCTTTGCGTTTGCATTTAAAATTGGTTTTCTATTTATCAAAGCACAGCCACTTGGAATATCAAGTGATGTATTTATTCAAGTTGAGAGGAAAACTGTAAACACCTTGAAGAATGATTATGGGTTACAGCCACTGAAGTTTTTGCACATACAAATAAATAGTTATACACTTTATTTCTTAACTAGCTGACCCTCAAGTACATCCTTAAATGTTAGATACTAATAAATGTTCTTACAGTATGTGAAGAACATCAGGTGTCTTGGACTAAAATTCATGACTGCGTAGTGAGCAGATAGTTGCCTAGTGCTGGCCAGGAGGAAACAGTTTTCCAGGAAGTACTTGAACTTCTCCTCCTCTGAGGAGCTCAGGTGCCAATCCAGAGCATGTAGGAAGAATATCAGTATTTTTAGGATTTGGAGCCCTGAATGACACCAAAATGAAAACTGATAAAAATGTGGCTCTTTACCCTACTGATTTGACCAATTGCTTGAAAAGAAGCAAGTATTGCCCTTAAACTGTAACCAAGGCTGCTTTTTACATTTAAACAGTTCCTTGCAGCGGTGCTGAAAAGCTAGGATATTTTTAATTCTTACCCCTCAGTGAGCTGCCTTTACTGTTAGACTAGGGTTCTTTTAATTGCTTAATATAAGCCTTGCTTTCTGTGTGATGAAGCAGCACAAGAGGTTGCTTCTCATGTATGTTATCCTGTTATCAGATTCCTGTGGAATTTGCCTGAGGTGCAAGTTTCTTTCTTTCAGCCTTACACCAAATTCGAAATTGTTCCTTTTACCTCCTATGCAAATGTTCTGACCACCTAGGTATGATACATAACCTAGGCTCTGCAGGCAACCACCTCTGAAGAGATTGTGAAATTGGACCCTTGACTTATGGGATTCTTGTCACCTAATTTCAGATATCTACTGTCTGAGGACGTTACCTTATCATTCAAAGAAATACAAGGGTTCTTTGACTGGTGACTTTTTTTAATTGACTAGAAAGACAGATAAGTGGTGCCTACATTTTAGTTTACCATACCTAGCCATTTGGATTCCACACTTAGTTTCTGCATTGCATTGGGTTCACTTGGACACATGTCTGCTTAGGGCTGGGCAATTCTCTGAAAGTAGATATGGAAGCACAAATGCTGTTTTCAGGTGTGCTTGCCTTTTGGATTTTTTGGGTTTTTTTTTCCTCTCAGAGGCAGTACTCAAGATTTGTTTACCTGATTGAAGTGTACCTAAGTACTGTTTCGCTATACTCCTCATTTGTCTTCTCTTTTGTTGTAAATGCACAGCACAGTAGGTCTGATTCTCATTTATTAATACTCTTCTACTTTTTATTAATATTCATTACCACTAAAACGTGGTAGGATTATGCAGCATTAAATATAGCACAAGCTTTTCACAAACTTATTTTGCTGTCAAAATTCAAACAAGTAATCTCCTTTGCCCTTGTTTTTTTATAATCTGCCTTCCTGTTTCTTGTGTTCTAGAGGAAGTGTATGTGTATGGTAAAGTCCAATATTGCCCCTAGATTATTAGAAGTCACAGGTGTTTGTAGTGATACTTGAGGCTTTTCACTATTGGACTGCATATTTGAATTAAGCATAAATTGGTACTGATGCAAAGAAACTTATTTCTGAGGGTAGCTTATTTGCTTATACATAATTCATATCCTTCATTCATTTCATCCTAGCATAATTATTTGTAGGTCTGCTACTATAGCTGGCATTTCTGTGTATTTGCAACAAGCAGGTCCAGCTGAATACCAGAGCCCTAAATACAGGGCATTAGCCTGTCGCACGCCCTACTGTTATGTGCTGAAAAAACACATATAGATGTGTTGTACCCAGATTTTTTGGTTCACGTGTTAGACTTCACTTTGCACACCTTGGTTTCAGTACATAAAATGTCCCTATCTAGCTCACAGTTAAATGAGGAAAACATAAATACAGCATCTGAGAACATTGGAAGGGATCTAACTGTATTTTCCCTTCTTGTAGGGCAAGAAGAATGGACCAATTCAAGACACAAGGCACCTTCTGCAAGGACAACAAAAGGAGTCTACAGAGACCAGCCATATGCCAGATACTGATTGTACTGTCTGATGTTGTGAAATATCCAATCTCCACCAGTCCTGTATACTGTTCAAAGTAATTTTTTCTATGAACAATCCCTTTTTATTAAATCAAAGCGCTTAAAAATCTGAATGGATGGACTGAACTTAAAATATTTTGTTGAAAGAACAACCTGGACATAAAGATATGTAAAACAAGGAACTTTGTTATTTCCAAACTGTAACTGAAAAAATAGGTGATCAAAAAAATAACCTTTGATTAACTAGTGTTAAACAAAAATAGGTTTACTAAATATGCTAGTCCATTCTTTTAACATAAGCGTAACCTTTTATTTTAAAGGTTTTCAACAATTTAGTTTTTAGTTTTTATTTTCAGCCATTTGCTAGCTTTTCTCTTTGCAGACATGCGTAAAAAGGGAAGCAAATTACAAATGCAAATAATGTGGTATTTTGTAATTCAAGTCTTGAAATGTTCTGTAGTGTTAAGCAAAGTTTTACCCTTGCTTGATACTAAATAAACTTTTGAAAGAAAATCAGTGTGTGTGAGATTAATTTTATGTTTTATCTCATAATAAAACTTCATAAATAGTAGTAAACAGGGAGAAATACGTTTAACAGTGATCAACATAAAAGGCTCATATTAAACGTTGCGCAACTTCTTTAAAAAAAATGGTATAAACCTAAATGTATATATATTCACAGTAGATATAAATGCTGTTTAAAGTATCCAAATGGTATGGATCTGCTTGAGTGCCACATTAAATCAAAATATTTTTGTTAAAAATGGTTTAAAATAGCTAATGAATTTTCTGAAAAAGATGTGACTAGTTTTCATCTTGTTGAGCATTTTTTCACTAGTGCAACTTTGGATTTTTTATGAGAATTTTGGTACGTTAATGACCACCTCGCTCCGTGCTGGAAGCAATAAACACAAAGCTTTTAAAGACTTTCTGACTTGACTAATTGAGGTCGCTTTCGTCAGAGGCAGAGGATGTGTAACCCTTAAAACGGTCTTCATTTGCAAAGGTAAATAAATCAAATAAGATTTTAATCTCACTTAATTTATCTTAATATAACCAATAAAAACAGGGAGGCTACAACGTAGAAAGTTTCATTTTAGAATGTAGGAAAGACTTTAAGGACACCTAAATTCTCATTTTAAAACGTTTAATTTCTGTTAGTAATCTAAAAAGCCTTAGCTTAGCTAGTTAAATTTGGACAAACTATTCCCTATTAAACAACTGTAAAACCTCATAACCAATAGTTTGTAATATATTTTTTCCATAAATTCTAGTAACTTAAACATTACAAATGTTATCTAAAGCTTTTTGTTAATAATTAAGTTTCTATTAATTACAGTTTGATTTACATTGTTTTTTTTAGTTTTCATTTGAAAGTCTTTGAAATTTAGTAAAAATATCTTCTTTCTCTTGTCAGGAAACCCACCTCCTTGGACAGCCAAGAGAACAAAAACCTTAATCTTCTGATGCTTTGGTAGGTATCTTTATTCACCTGTGAAATTATTAGGGAAATAATGGAGCTTTTGATCAGGTCCTTAATTCTTTATACACAAGGCTTTAATTTACGTAATGATTACAGGTACTGAGCTGGAGGCCAGCAAAAATGATTGGCTATGTTAAATTGTGGTGGGAAAAGTCATAGTTTTAAACTATCATTAAACAGACATTAAACTGTCCCAGTGTGTGGACACTTCTTTTGCTGTTTGTTAATTGGAAGTTGTATGTAGCTTTGACAACATTTCCACCAAGTATTTCATTGGACAGAGGAAGGTGAAAGAAAATGAATGTAACTTTATGCTAGTAGTGTTCAAATGGAAATTAAAACTCTGATCCAGTCAGCAAACGTGTCTAAAATGGTTTTCCAAAGCTGAAGAAAGCATTTGTAGAATGATTTTTTAAGTCGAGTATTTCTGCATGAGGAGCAGACTGATTTTTGGCACAAAGGAAGGAGAACAAGTCCATTGAGAAACATTAGCTGAAGAACAGCCAGCTCTACTGTTTCTGGTGAATTCAATATATGAAGAAAGAAATAACTTGACTGTATTTATGCTCAGTTTGTGTATATTTTAAATAGAAAGAATTTTTTCTTTAGTTCCTACTTGGAATGGTAATTCTTCCTGCTAATGACATGGTCTCAGTGCCTTTAGTTGGTATAACTTAGATAAATAGAGCTGTATACTTTGAAATATTGCATACGTTGCACTGTCTGATATACCACAGTCAATTTAAGAGACTCCTGTCACAGGCTAAAGGAACTTTCTGTACATACAAAATGGCTTTAGAACAATTTTGAGAGTATTTTAATGATTTAAAGCAAAGGACCCTTTTAAGATCAGGAGAGCTTGGAGGAGACTTCTGCCCTCTGGGGCTCAAAGGGCAAAGATTTGATACCAGTTGCTAGAACTGCTATAGCAAAACTGAGTGTATAAATGTCTTTTTAAAACATTTATAATGGAATTGGCCAAATCTTTATTTCTGTTCACACCTTAAATCACATAATAAGATGAGTTATGTAAGTCACAACGAGTTTTCATTTGCAAATACGAAGTTTTTTATTAACCATATACAATGAAACTTGATGGGTTGAAACTAAAATATCTAGTAGCAGGGATGGCTAGTAGATGAATAAGTGAATCAACCTTCTGTAATATCTATCCAACTCTTTTTTTTTTTTATGCCACCTTTCCTTAGTGCTTTCTATATGGAGGATGAATGTATCAGCATACACTTTGTGCCACTTTTCTGCTACTCTGCCCTGAAGTCCTATAAACCCTTAAATTGCTCCAGGTTCCCTTTTTGTTGGGGGGAGGGAAATGTGTCCCTGTCAAATCATGCAGAGGCTGTCTGGATGCACCATTGTGTGACAGGATGTCATATGACTGGATGTTGCAGGTCACATGAGTAAATTAAAAGAAAATTCCTCTCCTAAGAGCATACCCATCCTATGGTCAGAAGCCAGATGTGCTTCTCACAGAAGATGGAGTAGTCTGGCCATATGGTGCTCCAATTAAGTAGCTGTGGCCCACCTTGGCAGAAAAGCTAACCATTTTAGTCCAGTCTTATTCGTTCTTTTAATGATGTGCGACATTTAAATTTGATACATCTAAGAAAAAAGTCTGCATATATTGAGCATGATAATGGTATGAGTTTTAAATCCATTAAGTCTTCCTTCTTCCAATGCTCCACATTGATACACCTTATTTCTCCTAAGAAAATGTGTTTTCATACCTCTTTAAAAAAAAAAGTTCTGTCAATTTTCATGTCCCATACATGTGTGTACAATAAGCTACATCAGTTCAAACAGCTGGTGTTAGATATTCTTAGAAACTCCATATTTGCAGTACAAAACTTCTCTTGACAGTTCCTGAAATAACATGCACTAGCATTGTGTTCTGTATTGCATTCCTGTTCTTTTTTTTTAAATTTGGACTAATCTATGCAAAGAAATCCATTAGGTTTTGAAGAGAGGGGAAAAATAATCTAAAGATCCCTAAATTTAAAAAAAACCAAAAAATCAGTGTAGAAGGCAGCCTTTCTTTCATTGTGACAAACTAACCTAGGAGTGTTTATCTACTTCAGTAGGATTTTGTGTTCTGACACTGGTCAATTTCTATGTTACTGATCAAACAAGTAATGTTAATGATTATAATTAACCATATCATTAATTTGCCTTTATTGAACCTTTTTATCTCATTTTCACTGAATTTCAATGATAGCAGTTTCTGCAATGGCTTCCATAAATCTGCATACATTTATTGTATGCATAATTGCCTGATCCCACTGTTTATAATCTGACAGTCTTCAGAGAATTCATAGTTGCTAGTCTTGGGATGTATACAAATATATTATATTTTGCTCTTTTTCAGGAACTTCTGCAATGTTATTTACAGACTGCTTAGAGCATTGTACTTACCCGTGTGCCTAGACAACAACGAGACGGGCTACGGAGTATGAAAACCCTGTTCTGTATTTCTTGTATTAAAGCCTTAAAGTGTATAATATTATACACTTTTTAAAATAATTGTATATTTAAACTCTTAATTGTTTAGTGATGCAACGATGTTTTATTTGGAGCCCAATAAAGAATTTTCATCTAAGTTCCTGTTACAAAGCAATAATGCAGCCTCATGTTCCTTTTAGTGATCCTTTTTAGCCTTATGCAGCAAGTGTAAGAGAGTGTGAAGTCTACTGACTAGAATTTAAATGCTTTTGGAAATAGCTTGTCTAATGTATGAACAACATGGATAAGTTAAAATGAAGATTGGTGTTTTATGCTGAAGCTTTTCTTAATAGCTTATTGTAAACAGGTCTACTCACAACAAGACTCTTGGGTAGAAATGATACTCCAACTTCCATTTCCTTCAGAAACTTGTATAACATGAAGGTGTGTTAATCCCTGTCAATTATGCTATGCTGCTTATTCTCTTTCACTTAGTGTTTGATGCATAGAAATGTTTTCTCTAATATACAGTCACAGGTTTTCTAGTAGTGGTCTTAGATGAGGCTTTTACACCTTGATAAATCTTGTATCTAAGTCAAGTTTCCTCAGTGCTTTCTCTGTTTTATATTAATTGTGATTGTGATAATTTGTAACAGAAATAAAATCCTGGTAATTTAATTTCTTGTGTTCTTTTTCCTAAATACTGCTTGCAAAGTAGGAGTGTCCTATTCCTCAGTTATGTTTCTATCAGATGCATTTTTCTTCACTGAATCTCAAATTCATCTGAAGAAAAGCATAATTTGTGCCTGTCTCATTTTATTTTGAAAATAAGCAATATCACTTAATAGCTTCACACCAAATGCCTCCTCTTCAACATATATTCATAACTTCTAATACTGTATACTGACTACTGAAGAATGGCCTTGAAATTTATGGGGATGTGGAAGAAAACTTAAAATTTCCTATTAACCCTGACACTGATCAAAGTGTCTTGAGTAAGATATCACTTTCAATAGGTAAAAAAAAAAAAAATTGACAGTGTAAAAAAAAGTCTGTATTTTTAACCTTCAAATATTTAAGGTGATTTTATCAATCTCACAATCTGGAAAGATTTTCCCTGCCAACATCTTTCACTGTACTACAACTGCATTTCTGTAATGTTTTCCACAGCAAGCAACAGTGATTATTTAAATAAGTAAAAGCAAAATCCAAAAACCTTTGAATAAGCACAAGAGATGTATAGTAATGGATTCCCTTCAGACTGACAGGTGGGAACCTCTGATGTGGAACAGCACCTAACATTTTAAACGCTAGCCTAGTATAAAAATTGTATATAGATACTTTGGGGGGAATTTAGATAAGCAGGGTGCCATTTCACTTGCTGTAATTTGGACTGGACATCAGGATTACCAACACAATCTCATTTGAGGAGTGCTATGAACAATTTAATGAGTGAAGTATCAAGCCTTCCCCTCTGGAGCCATGAACAACAGAGTTTCTTCATGTCAATGTGAAAATATTTCACTAGTATGACTTATTTTAATATGTAACTACCAAAGCTGTCTAGCAAATC